TCTTTTTGTTGAACATAATGTAAATGCCTCAAAAAATCAGGAACTGCGACATAAAACTGGCAGAACCTCTGTTTGGTTTTTCTGCTGCTTTCCTTGGAGACAGCTAGATTTCGGACTGGACGACTTGCTTCTCCAAAGTACAGATTACATTTTGTGTCATCTTTCACAGATCCAGGCAGAGAGCAAGTGATGAAAACATATTCTCCATCATAATGCTGAACGCTCATCTGTGGTGTTTGACCTACATGAAGATCAATGCAGTATCGTTAGATATCAGTCACATATTCTGCATGTTTTACCAGTACAAAAACAAGGACAGCAGTGATAATCACAACTGTCCTACTATAACACTCAGTCATCATATTTTACAACTGACAACAACAGCATTTACAACATTTTTCGATCCCCTGAAATTTCTTTTAACACCACATGGAGGCTGAAATGTATTTTACATGTATTCGACGAATCAGTAAAATTTGACATTCAGCCTTCTCAGATGATGCGTGAGAAACACATGTTGAACTGGTTAAATATCAGCTGGACCATCACGTCATGTCTGTTAATATGAACAGACAGAAAGGTGTAACTGAAATCCATCATAATTTTATCATAACAGGTTTTTATATGAAATACAAACAGTGATTCTGTATCAGGTTTTTGTATCTGCAAATTTAGTTCAGTGTAGTAGGCCAGATGTTTATAACCAAAGACCTGCAAAGTAATAACTGACAACAACTGTAACAATTAACTTTAACATACTCTCCTAAACATGAAGCACTGTCCACCAGATTCCTGCCAAATGTAATTATATGATAAATGATCTAATAACAGGAAGAAGAGTCTCTTACTTTGTATGGTGATGGAGGATGTGTCACTGTGCAGTGAAGGAGAATTCACAGCTCCATATTTCACAGTGTAAAAGCATCTGACTTTGACCTCAGCAGGTGATCTCTGATGTGACATAAACAGCAGTTCAGTTCCTGTCAGTGTCTGTAGACACGAGTTGCCTTTGTTACTTTGTTGCTCCCCAGTATAAAAATAACAGTGATGAACTGAGGCAGATGCTGGTGGCTGACAGTGTAATGTGACTGAGTCAGTCTCTGAGATCACTGATGTGCTCACTGTCAGTGTTGGTGGAAGGAGAGCTGAAAGATTAGAGGGAAATACGTGTATCAAATATCTAAAAGGTTATTATGACAACACACTTTGTTGTAAACAAACAAAGTGTTGAAAACTTTGTTCGGTTATTTGCAGACTGTATCAGTTCATATGATGCTAAAAGAACAGTTTGAAATTAAAACTGTAAATTGCAGACTGACCTTGGACTTGATACTCATGAGAGGAAACTGTCAGAAATAACATGTCTAACAAGGGAAATACATGCATGTGTTAATAACAGGATAATAACACATATGTAACATTTAAACAATTGAACTGTTAAAGTTTGAGTTAGTTCTTGCTCACAGTCTGTATAAATGCAGATTTAATCCAACAAGAACAATAGTTTCTCAATAAACTAACAACCATAGAATCACCAGCCATGAAAAATGTAGGTAATTTGCAAAGATGACCCTGAGTTCATTTATGGTGAAATCTACAGAGAGTTAACTTACTCATGAGGATGGCAAACAGCAGGTGTCCAGCCATGATGAAGCTGAATACTGCAACAGCCAAACTGAACAGACTGATTGTCATTTTGCAGAACTTGTTCAAACTAAAAAAGACAGGAAGCAACAGCACTGAACAACAGCCAAAGGCCACAATGATGTAGCTTTCGAAAGTACCCGTACATGTTTTACTGAGAAACAAAGAACCACAGCAGAGGGGTGAAAAGAGGCTAATGAGAAGAGCACATTTGAGCATCATTTACTTTGAATTTGTGTGGGTTAAAGGCCTCACTATCTGCACACATGCATCACTTGCATTTATTTTCAAAGCACTGCAACACATGAAGTATTCACAAGTTAGTTCATAAGACAGTAAAGCGCACATTTTAGCTTTTGTATCTGCTGTTACCTGATAAACCTGTTACCTGATATTCTGCCTCTTTACTGAGCAGTCTAAATGTTTTCTTGCTTCATATATAGATTCATTCAAAGTTTCAGTGATGAGAGGTCAAATCAAATTTCGTTCCTGCCCTTTAGCTCTATTAAATAAATGTATTTATGACAACACTGAAGTCACTATGATGGTTTTTACTGAAATAGAAATTTTTAACACCTCTACAACACATCATATACATCTGCTTTTGATACAGACAAATGTGCGCACTAAACAACAGCTGAAACGATGTTCAACATTCTCAAAAGTGGGACTCAGCTTTTTCAGAGGGAGAACGATACATTCAGAAAGTGCCGCATTCACTGGAAACACTACATCCAGATGAACAGAATCAACATTTGGAGATTTTCTTACCTGAATAATTGAGTATGCATAAAGATGTTCAACATTGCACTATCAGACTAAGTTTAATTACATCTGCACTCTCGGATAATACTGAAATAATGTTACAATCATGACTACAGACCATGATCGACATGATTTTTTTTACCAACTTGCAACCCAGAGACAATAACAGAGCGCTCTACATATCCAACATTTAAGACATTTCAATCAATGGCTCATTGCAAATCATCAGCCTCTTTTTTAAGTAATGTCTGCTTGATATGTTATTTGTGTTTCTTCTGTTGTATGTCTGTAGACACATGAATGCATGGAGACTATATTCATATGAAGGTGGAGGAGAAAAGATGCAAAATGGAGCCCACTACATTGTATCTTTTAGGGTTACTGGAGCTGTTGTTTCTCTATGAAATAGACAAAATAGAAATAAAGTCGCATAATGTAATGGTGCATGCTGCATGCAAATTCAATAAATGGATGAAGAACTAATATTAAATGCACGAGTGGTTAATTCATTTTCCCAAGGGACCACATGGGAAATTGGGACTGTTGTGAAGGGCTGCATCAATAAGCTGGACTCAGTTCTGTTTAATACTAATGTTATCCGATTATAAGCTTACCACAAGAGTCCTAGTGTCCTGTGTGGCCCCAGAGGAAAATTCATAAAACATACTCTGAGTGGAAAACCCATCATGTCACCACTACATTGTGTTTTCAGAGGAGCCGCGGCTGAGTTTCTGAAGTCCTCAATATAAACATATCAAAGCCATTTTTTGTTTGTAGGCATTTCAAGACCCAAGGCTGAACTCAAGCATGAACTCATCCTCACCTACGCAAACATTTTTACACTCATCACAAGTCTGCCTCTGTAGTCACTGAGCAATCTAAATTTGATTTTGCTTCATATGTAAATTAGATACAAAGTTTCAGTGATGAGTTGTGAGTACGAATTTAGTTCCTGTCCTTTTTCTCTGGGAGGTAATTTTATCTATGAGAACACGGAAGCCACTAAGGCGGTTATTACTAAAGTAAAGATCATTTTCGCATGTCTACAATGTGTGACACGCATCTGCTTTTGACACAGACACAAGTGTGCACACTGAGATAGCAAACAATAGTTGTTCAACATTGTGCTTTCAGTCTAAATTTGATGAATTCTGCATTGAGCATTGATATTGTTTCTTAATCAGTTTTGCACCCTCAGATAATATTGAGATAATATTAACAACATGACCGGAGAACTTCAGTAATAAAGCTAAACAGCAACAAAAATAGGAAGCATCTCAAACACTGGCTGATAGCAAGCAGGTGTGTGACCACCCAGAACTCATTTATGTATTTATTTTTGTTGTATATCTTTATGTCTTTGTTCATTTTAATGTTTTATGTGACCTGGCCTGGGACTACAGATATAAATGATCAGTTTTGTTATAACCTGGCATCTTTTAATTTTGGCATACTGATGTACATCAACATGCAATTATCCAGTTAGATAAAGAAAAACATTTCATTTAATCAATTTTTGTGGCATTTCAACTCATATTAAAAGGCAAATTACTAACAATACTCAATACTTCAGAGTATTGTACTTCTGTATCTACAGCCAGGATAAAAGTGTAATGATGTTGGAATACATTATCCTTATTAAACTTCTTATTATTCATTTAACTCACGTTAAATACTTTTTAGAATATTTTATTTAGCTTGAAATTATGTCTGGGGAATTTTCTCCTACCTCTGTGATGTCCTGCCTCCATCCAGCCTAGACTGTAGCTTTGAACTGCTTATAGCTAAAGGAAAATTCTCTGTGTAATGCATTTGCACCAACTACAAAAGAAAATACAAAAACACAATGTGAATAAAGCACGTGAAATTTTAGAAACCTGTCAACAACTTGTTTAGAACTAAAAATGATTAAATTCACATCTCAAAAGCTAATTTTGAGCATAACATTTAACCACCTAAAACAGTTTATTTTACTATTACAAATATCATCATAAAGAGGTGCAAAAGGTTGCATAAAGTGCCAAATACAGTCAGCAAAGATATGCATATGATAAAGTGCGTTTCAGTCCCTGGGTAGGTTGTCTCTTGGTAATAAATCCGTGTTTTTTAAATATTATTCCCAAAATCTCGATCAGCCGATTAAAGCATACGTCACTGTCGTCACACCGTCGAGTTTAATCAGTAGGCCTATTTAACATTGATCCGACATTTATTTAGGTCTGAGATTTCAGTCTCAGCCACAAAGACGATTCAAATAAAAAGGCAGCGTTGTTTTAATGTCGCCTTGCTATCTGTGCATTTGAAGCACTGCTTGGGTGTTTTGACTCCGGATGAGGTGACAGGATTCAGTGATAACACATTAAGTTGGATGAATCCGCGGTGGCTTTCAAATCCTAATTTACCACACCTGGTGCGATGCGGTTCACCTGGTCTCATTATACCGGAAACAACTGCATAAAAACGGAGACAGTTGCCAAATAAAAGGAGAGTACGCATATTTTAAGACTTTAGCTTGTCTGCCTTTATTGTGTCCTGTTTTTAAAATTAGATTTTTAGTGAAATGCCTCCCAAAAGGCCACCAGCAAACTCCACTGAGCTGTTCGATTCATCCACAAGCGAAGCGTCGGTGGATGAGAAGCCGGAAAAGAAATCGGGTATGTGCGCAAAAGGCGAAAATCTTTAAGATGGAACGAACTTTAAAAAATTATATGTAAATTTACTCTGCGTAGATGCTGCGCCTCATCCATCCACGGCGATCATGGTGAAAGAAGCACTTCAAGCGTTGGACTCGCGCAAAGGGGTTTCATCCCAGGCGATACTGAAGTATATCACCGAAAAATATCCGTCGGTGGATTTGGCGAGGCTGAAGACTTTAGTTCGCAAAAACCTGACGAAGGGAGTGGAAAATGGGACGCTGGTGAAGCCTGGAAACTCCAGCGCGACAACGGCCACGAGGAGATTTAGGGTAAGAGGTTACATCTGCAGCTGCGTTCAAACGAAGAGTTCAAATGTCAGTTACGGGTTTCGTCTTTATTAAGCTTGCACCGAAGACTAAACCAAAAGCCGAAAACGCAGAGCCCAGTGTGAAGAAGTCTCCAAAAGCAGCCAAGGATGGAGCCAAGAAGCCCAGGAAAGCGGGTATGAATGACCGTTAAACCTCGAGTGAGCAGTAATTTAAGCTGTTACTTTGTGTCAACTCGTCATTTCTTACAGGTGCCACAAAGAAGAAAGACGCTGCAAATGAACAAACAAAGTCCAAAGAGGTGAGCGGGCGCAAGTTTGGCTTTAGATGAGAAGTTGGGAAGTGACTCTTCATGTATTTAAGAATGTGGATGAAGCTCATGGTAGTTTACATCTATATTCATGGTCAGAATGTTACTTTTGCAGAACTATAAATTTCAACAAAATGTGCAGCCTCACTGGAGGAAAAATCCTGGAAAAAAATCCCAAATTGCACAACTTAAGCATTTATTTTAAGCCAGATGTAGCAAATTTGATGTATTTTATTTACATGTGACTTTATTTGGAGTGTTTGATCATTTGTCAGATTCATCTTAAAGTGAATTTTCTGGCAATTGCGTTACAATTCAGGCTTTAAGGGGTTAATGGCTTGGTAAAGTGTCCTGAACATGTCAGTTTTCGTAGGATCTCTTATTTGTCTGGTAAAGTAGTTTATATTCTCTCCAGGGTTCATAAAATTCTGACATTCAATCTACTGCTGTCTCCTAAATTCCCCTTTTGCCTTTTAGGACTCAAAGCCTCCCAAAAAGTTGAAGGATGAAGAGGCTTCTACATCAAAGGTTGCTCCAGCAAAGAAGCCAAAGGCTAAAAAAGCTAAACCGACTGGGGATGGTGAGGAAACTGCTGACTCAACCAAGACTAAAGCAAAGAAAACTAAGGAGTCAAAGCCTGGAAAGGCCAAGGTTGCCAAAGCGGACAGTAAAGTGGCTTCTAAATCAAGCGGAAAACGAGGGACAAAGTCTGAAGATTGAACTTGTAATTCTAGACTGTTTTTATATCGTTTTTCAAATAAATCTAAATTTTTAGCTCGAGTGCATTTGAGTATATTCTAATTACCTTTAATACTAGACTATACAATAACTAACCCCAAGCATTGCAAATGTATTGAATCTGGCGCCTAATTTACTTCAGACCTTCTGCATTTGTGCTACTGGAGGTCTAACATGTCCTACAATGAAAGAAACTTGACCGATTTTTTTTTTTTTTTGCAATTGTGAGTTTATGACGGCAAGTCTATAATGCTGTGTAACCTGGTTTCAAAATAAAAAGTTGTTCATCTGCAAACATTCTGAACTTAACGTTCAGGTGGCAGCTTTTCTGAGTGAACCATATTTGCACAAGTCTCAGCAGACAATTGTGTAAATGAGCTGACCTAGTGGGCTCTTCACCAAACTGAGTCACTGTTTCTATAAATTGGTGCATGTCCCTGACTATGTTGACCATCCTCAGCTGTAGATTCATGTCCTGTAAACAAAGGATTCATTCCTGTTTAACTCGGACTTCACTGTATGGGCTATTGCGTTCTGTAGTAAGACACATGCACTAGATTTAAGTTTCCATACACTGCAGTAATAAAGATGACGGAGTGGTGTCTGCATTTGATAGGTTTGTAGCTTGAACCTATTCACTGGAACGTTGAAGACGATATAATTCGCAGCAAAAAGTAAAACATCAGGCACCAAAGTTTTTTGGTTTACTTTTGTATGAGAGGGAGACCTGCCTAGAGCCAAGTGTCGTCCCACTACTTGACCTCCATCAGACTCTCAGCCAGGCTCCCCATAGCACTCCTTTTATTGTGGTTACATGAATATGCATAGGGTCATTAACATATAGCATCTTACATAGGTATACATGTGAACAAAGAATACTGTGTGTGTGTGGTCAGAGTGTGACCCCATAAACGACTTCCTTGTTCATCTAAACAAAAAGCACTTAGACTAGAACAGACGTAGCTATGTTAATCCTACCATAAAACAATAAGAGAAGGTACGACCTCTCTCGTGCTCCCAGGATGTGGGTGTGCATTCTAGTGTGGAATACACACCAAGCCTTTGCAGCCTGTTAAAGATCACAGTCCTATCACTACACAATTGATTATACACCTCTAAGCATATATGGTTAAATATTTCTAAGCATAAATGACAATCAACAATACAAAACCTAACAGCATTCATTTTATTTGTTTCCAAGATGTTAATTGCAGAAGGGTAACTGGTGGTACTCTAAAATAACATCCCAGTGCCTCCACAGGAAAGACAAAAGGACCAGAAAAAGCAGCATGCAAAGCATTAGAAGGGCTGTCTTGAAAAATGGGGCCACCCAGCTGCTCACTGTGGACATCAGCACCAAAAGCACAGTTATAAAGGCTAGCGATACATCGATTAGTTTTTCAAGTACTGTCTGTGCAGTGGTATTGGCCCATGTCTCTGGATGCCCTGCATCCTCTTCTTTCTGCTGCTGCTGCTCCAGCTTGAACTGGCGTCTCTCACAAGCCTCCAGCACCTCCTGCAGGCCAGAGACAGAATTGAAGTTTTCTACTGCCCAAGGAGAAGTACAGTTACAAAGCCAGCGCTAAAGATGCCAGGCCCTTATAGTGGTTAAAAAGGGCCTGGCATCTTTTTGGCCCTGTCAGAATCTGTTTTTGGAGTTTTTTTTCTGAGGTGGAATAGTAAAGAGTAAATCTGGATTTTTTTTTTTTTTATTTTGTACAGAAAGGAAGAATCAGCACATCAGTTACATACTGGAACAACTTCTCTTGACATGGGAAAATATTATTTGAAACTTGCATAAAAATCTTGTGTTGCATCAGAAGACCGATCAGCACTCTTCTCTGCTGTGGCAGCTAACTCTTTTTTCAAGTTCCAAACGTCATTCTGATACTGTTCTGTCAAGTCAATGAATCGCTCTTCTAGAGATTCCCTTCTGCAAAACACAACGCTACATAAAAACAGCAGATGGTTTCAGCCTACACAGCTGTATAGAGTAATATAGTACCTGTTCTGTAGGTCTTTAAGGTCCTCAAAGAGCAAAGAGTAGTCTCGTTGGTGACTCGCATTTAAGTTTTTAAAGTGTTCTTCAAGTTGGCTGTGGCTTTCCTGAAGCTTACCGACGTACTTCAGTACATCATCAAAGGCCTCGCTGTGGTCACAGGTACACTGCCTTGAGCTACTGTATAAGATATTGAAAGAGACATTTTAGTCAGATTTTGCACCACAGTTGCTGAATAATTGGACTGAAAGAAGATGTAGAGGCCTCCTGATTGTTACTAGCGGTATTTGGATAACAGCGTGCTTTCCAGATGACGGCTGTAACCTGAAAATTGGTCTGCCTCAAAGTGGGTCTCTGTCTACATATATAAGCATGCTTTTTCCACTTACAGTAAAAAGCAATGAGCAGTGTGTCCTTACTGATAAAATCTGTCTTTTACTGCTGTTTAAAATAATAAAACAATTTCTTTAAAAAAAAAAAAAGTGAGACTAAATTAAAGTCTTTAAATTCAATGGGTTTTTTTGCATTAGGACAAAAATTCATTTAAAACGATTTATAAGCACTCATTTTAGTGTGGTGTCTGCTTATAATCTATCTATGCTTTATTTAAAAAGTCCATTATGTCACTGTTAAGTTGTGCTGATAAAATGGGAACTAACCTATTACAAAAATGACTGAGAGAATAAAAATTCACCCAGAACTCCAAACCATCATCACAGTCGATCAGCATCACGCCAGGGCATGAGTAAATGTTGTATTAAATGTCATTTCTAGAGTGCATGAAACATCCAACAGTTGTAAATGTTAATATGCAATCACCAGCCATTTTATTAGGTACACTTTTCTAGTAATGGGTTGGACCACTTTGGGCTAAATTCTTCATGGCATAGATTCAGCACAGTGTTGGAAACATTGTGTGAGGTTATCATGTCAACATGGACCAAAAACTCTGAGCAGTTTCAGCTGTATGTTTATGATGGGAATCTCAAGTTCCTAAATAACCTTTCTCCTCCATTCTGATGCACTGTTTGAACTTCAGGAGCAGGACTTGAACATGTCAACATGCTTACATTGTTAAATTTGCTGCCATGTGATTGGCTGAGTAAATGTTTGCTGTGACCCTAGTGTAAATCAGTATTCTCGAAGATATTTTTATTTATTACATTTCAAGAAACACCTGGGCTTATACAGACCACAGAGGATATGTTAGGGCCCTAGCTGGGCCTCCTGATACTGCCCTTGTGTGGGCGTGGTGTTTTTCTCCGCCTCCTCCTCTCTTGCTCCACCCCTCTGTCTCTCTCTTGCTCTTCTCTCGCCCCAGGACACAGCTGCTGCTCATTGGACTCATTTACCACCTGGGCCCAGTCAGCAATCACCTCTCTGAGTTCATATAAGCTGGGGATGAGCTGTGAGCAGGGTGGGGTGTTCTTGGTGTGGAGTTGTGGGAATAGTATAGCTGCTTTATGTGAGTAGTGTGGGCTGCTGCTAGTGATAGGGTGAGCTTGTGGGCCCCTGGAAGTGCCTCCTCGGTGTGGAGTTTTTGTTTGGTTGTTGTGTTCTTTGTTATTGCAACCTTTTTTCCTTTTTCCAAGTGTTATTGGTAAAACGGCGTTGCCGGCTCTTTATGTTAAGATTATCTATAATAAAGACTATTTTATTTACTAAAAACACCTCTGTTTTCCTTTCATTCTGTTCTGGACTCATTTGTTACTGGTCCCCTCACTCGCATGCCTAGACCCTTTCGGGGGGACGTAACAGGATAGAAACAAAGTAACGGTCCTATCACGCTAGTATCGATCCGATACCAGCGTTGGTATCGGTATTATCTGCCCGCCTCTCACCGGGAGCTTTCATCCCTTAGGCTGCTGCTGCTGTACCCCGTGTGTGTGGCCTGCAGACTTACACCCAACACACAGTACACGGCGATAAAGATCCCTACCTCACACTTGAACATCATTTTTGATGACTGTGCAGTTCTTCCTGGTTATATTGGTCGCTTCATGCTCACCTGGCTTCAAGTGACATCGTGGAGTCGTAGTCGGGTGTCAGTGACCTCTCAGGCGTTGATATGTTGAGACACATTTGTCACCTTTAAAAAAATAAAAAAATAAATAAATCCAACTACTTTGCATGTGTTAAAGTTTAGCGGAATCGAAGCGATAAATGTTGTAAACAGTAAAACGACGTTGGTGCCCAACGTTCATGTTGCGTAACAACATGTAAAACTGTCAGAAACAGAAACGTTCACGCTGATTCAGGTTTGTGAATGTCGTAAACGATCTGCTATCCGGTGTTTCAGGTTCAGTAAGTTTTCTACAGTTAAATAAAATCTGTGGTAGTTCAATAAAAGAAGTTGTTTTGCTGGGTGTAGCTAAAGGTCTGAAGAAGGAGGCAGTTCCCAGCTCAATTTCACCTTCATCCGCGGGGAACAGAGAAAAAAAAAGTTTTTAAAACGACAGCAGATTTAATGGATTGTGTGGAGCATCTGTTGGCTTTGACGTTTTTTGTTTTTCTGTACACTCTCGACCCTTTTATGAGACGATGAGAAAGGTTAACATTTAATTGTTGATATGATCTTCATTGCAAATATCTTAGCCAATCACATGGCAGCACCTCACTGCATTTAGGCATGTAGACAGGCTCCATATGAGCTGCTGAAGCTCAAACTGACTTTGAACGTAGCATGATTGCATGTGCCAGAATTATTTCAGATACTGCTGATCTGCTGGGATTTTTCCAAACTACAGCAGCAGCAGACCACACCGGTGAGGAAACTAGAAACTGAGGCTACAACTCCACACAAAATGTGACAATAGAAGATTTAAAAATGTTGCCGGGTCTGATGAGTCTCAACTTCTGCTGCAACACTCAGATGATCAGGTCAGAATTGGTCTTAAACAACATGAAAGCATGGCTCTATTCTGCTTCGTATCTACGGGTCTGGGTGGGGATGGCGTAGTGGTGTAGGCAGGGGTGTCAAATGGGCCGGGGACACATCAGAGGCTCTAATCTGGCCTACTGGCCCACTTTGTAAAATGTGAAGAAAGGTATAGATTTTGGACTTTTAACTGCATTTTCACGTTTTAGACTCAGACTTCCTCCATGGCCTCTCATACTACATCAATCTACCTAAGTAGCAGATAAGCATTTAAATAACAGAACATTTCCTGCATTTTTCACTATCTAAAATAGAACTTTCTTTTTTTCTATAGAGGGTCTACAGAAAAAAAACGTTTTTTCATTACTGGGCAATAAGCTAACAGCTTTCTGTAATTTTACACATCTATGTGTTACAGTTTAAGCCCAGAGAGCCATGCTGACAGATTTCTTCCATTTATTACGGAATCTATTTTTTTTTTTTAGAAGAACTGAGATGCTCTGTCGAAGCTGCACTTCTGTTTTCTTCTTCTAAGATATGTGAATCATTCCATGTGTGGTTAAACTTCTTTACACTGGCAGAAGGAGAATTTCACCGATCCAGCCTACAGAGGGTCAAACACAGCTCTCTGTGGCCCACGATGTAAACAGAGTCTGACATCCCTGGTGCACGGGACATAGGGATAGCACACTGACAGCCCCCTTAGTGCAGGCTGATCACTGTTGCCTACCTGAGTAATGTTGCTGACCATGCCCATCTTCTCATGTCAAAAAGGTCAAATCACCTGAAACCAGTTTGTTGATCATGCCAGCGAGCAAACGTTTTTGTGTTTTTTACCTTCGTATTATTTTGACTATAACCCTCTTTAATGTTAAAGGTGTATGACTCCATAAAACAGATTTTTATAGACAACCAAGGATGGAGAGAAGTTAGACTTTCAAGCTCAGTTTTTAAACAGCAAATTTATTTATCTTTAATTAAAAAATAAAAAACAAGAAAAACCCAACTAAAAGTATTACTATTTCATTGTCACTAATAGAAACAGTACGGAAGCACTGAGTCTTTGAGCACTTTAACCGCTCTTCAAGTATGTTAAATGAGTTCATAGATGATTCCTCTGCAGTGGAAAAACCACCAGGATAGTAGGGTCCGGTTTGCATGATTGCAACTCCAAGCACAAAATTTCATAATAGTAATATCCTGGCTGTGCCGTTACCAGTGTTACTGACTTCACACATCCAGTAAGAAACAAGAGCCCACATGTGTCTGACCCAGAGCAATGTAGCTGATGTGCAAGCACCCCGTTCTTTAGAGTGTAGTGAGCAGAGAGAAGAAGTGTTGGTCATAAAAGCTGAAATCTGAAAAGATAGAGCAAAGAGGGGAAAAAAAGCAGACGGAAAAGAAACTGAATCACAAGACCAGAAAAAAAAAAGTACAAAAAAGAGAGCGTGGGCGACTATGACTGCAGAACACTGTAGGCTCATTACAGTTAAAAAGAACATAAAAATCCATCAATCGGCTGTATTAAAAATAGCAGTAACTCCAAAACAATACCACTTGAATCAGTTGAAAAGTAATAAAACTCTGAATAATATTTTCTTCTGTGGGGAAACAATGAAAAGTTTTCCCACATGTAAACAAATTCACTCAGAAGAGAGAAATCAAGTGTGCAGTTCTCTCAGCCCGCTCCTTCAACTATGCCCCGTTCACCCTTTTACAGTATGCTCGTGCCACAATTGCACCAGATATAGAAAGTCCATATCAAACATCCAGCCTTTTCTCTCCGTATCCACTTTTATTCTCCTCGAAACGTATTTCATAGAGCAGTAAAGTGACAGACAGCTTTGTAATCCTCCTGAGTGTTTTGAGAAGCTGCTGGAAAAAGGAGGACTGCTGAGATTCATCTTCCCACATGGGCCAGTGTCATTCCTTTATTATCGCTTTCACACCTCCGGTCCCTTCATGTTTAAATTACTTAAATGCACCTTCTCCAGGCTGGTCATCTGGGGTGCAGAAGAAAGCGATGCATATACTCTGAAATGGCATCCCAGTGCCTCCAGAGGATGGCGAGGATAATTACGAGGAGCAACGTAGAAAGCGTGCGGCTGCGGGTTTTCATCAGGGGCACGACGCAGTTAGCCACTGTGGACACAAACACCAAAAGGACTGCCATCACAGCTAGCAGCACATTGATTAGTTTTCCAAGAAGAGTCCGCGCTGTGGCATTCTCCAAGCCCTCCAGCTGCACCACCTGCTGTTGCTGCTGCTGCAGCTCCATTTTGGAAATGCGTGTCTGACAAGCCTCCAGAGCCTCCTGCAGGTGAGAGACAAAAGAGTCGGTGACAGAGCTCTAATAAGGAAGCACACGTGTTCTGTTCATCCAAGCGAGGCTTACCTGTATGTCTCTCGCTCGTTCATAAGACTGATAGGCGATCTTCTCCTCCATGCTCGCCAGTTCTTGTTTCAAGTTCAAAATTTCATTCTGGTGCAGTTCTGTCAAGTCATTCAGTTGTTCTTCTAAACGTTCACACCTGCAAAGCAGCACATTTCACAAAATGGTACAAGTCCTACATAAACAGACTATACTGCAGAGCACATGACAAATCTACCTGTATCGTTCCTCTTGCAGCCCTTCCATGATCATAGTGTAGTCCCGCTGATAGTGGGCTTTTAAATTTTCAAAGGACTCCTCGAGTCGACCTTGGTTTTCCCGAAGCTCTTGGATCTCGTGGAGTATAGCATCAAAGCCTGAGGCTTGTGCATGATCAAGGGTGTTGCCCTTAGAGCTGGGGGGGCCTCCTGGGGCACCAGGGGTGCTGTTTGCTCCTGCAGAACCAGAAGTAGCACTAGAGCAGTCATCATCACTGGGATACTTTGGGCTGGATGGTAAGGCCCCTGTTCCAAGTGCCCTTGCTCCCCCAGGACCAATGCCCTCATCTCCTTGGGTTTCATCGAGAGAGTCCTTCAGAGCTGCGATGTTATCAGCGCTGCCAAACTTGTTACGGATGATGTTAGCTATTTCTTTCGGCTTGGACACCACGGCTCCAGCTGCAGAATGAGTTGCTTGAGAGAAGCTGGAGAGGCCTCCTGTTACCTGTAGTGAAACAGGATCAAGTCAATACTCAAGAATGCTTTTGTGATATACTGTAAAAAAGCTCTGGCTACATTAAACACCAAGTGTATCGAGACAGTTTGCAGAGCGCACACACTTTTAATTGGCACATCTGCAGATCTGTGCATGACTGGGTCAATCACAAATTAAACAACATTTTGAACTTTTACTGGTATGTTTTCAAGTTGAGGTGAGAGGTGATAAACCCTATCCTAACTGACACTGGTTAGAAGATAAGAGTACACCTGAACAGTTCAGCAGTCCAGATAATCACAGATAAATCTGTGGATGTATTTTGAATTATCCATTAACCCATTAATTGGCTGTGACCAAGGAACCTCACACGACCACAGGAAAAATGCAGACTCCGCACAACAATTTAATAAAAAAAAAAAGTAAAAAAACTGAAGACTAGTCCATTTTTTTTACTTCTGCGCCTCTAATCTACATGGCTGATTTGTACAACTGCACTGACACTTCCAATGGCATCATCAAAAATGGCTAAACCAGGTGAAGTGATGCAGCAGATACTCAGCAAATGGTCGGTGAAGCCACAGATTAAGATTGTATGATGTTTGTTATCAAGTAAACTGAAGGAAAAAGGCGACAAATATGTTACTGCAACACTATCAGATGGAGAACTTGAGGATTGATTCCACCAGAAAAATAACTAGTCTGTTATTCATGTTTATGCATTTCAGTCTTAACATTGAGCATTGTCCTCCGTGTGACCTGGGAGCTGCTCTGAGAAAATTCACAAAGGTTTAACATAAATAATTAGTATGGAAGGTAAACGGTAACCACTACCACTGTACTCCTCTATATCGAGTCACATATTTGATCAGTTATTCAACAGAGTTCTGCTTTTCAAGAAAGTCAACAGTGAGAAGAACGACTGGCAGTATGTGCAGTATTTACATGCAGTGATGTATTTCAGGTAAATGCCACAGCACCTTGCAAGAGAGCAGAATGCAGAGGTTTGTCTTATTTGGTTGAGATAATATGAATTTTAGTGTTCTGTTGTCAGGGCACTTTTTTAAGGCATGAGTGCACTACAGGAGAACGACTTGGACAGGATGATTTCAAAGCTTTGGCGAGCTATGAAAAAAAATTACCTAAAACTTTAAATGACGCTTAAAGAAAACACAAAAGCAAAAAAACACAGACCTTGGCTCCGACGTCCTTCAGGCCCTGATGCATGTCTCGGAAAACGTCTTTGGGCTGGCGAGGGATGCCGTTGTGCTCCACCTCTCGAAGCTTCCGGTGGTAGTGCTCAAGCTTCCTCTGCAGCTGCTGGATAGTCTGAGCCGACTTTTGGTTCTTCTTCTCGAACACCTGTTTGATGCGTGCACTCTGCTGTTTGTCAGCATTATTGGCGAGTTTCAGGTATTCGGCCACATTGTCGTCACGTGCAGTTTGTTCTATCTTGATTTGTTCTGTGAGCTTGAGGATCTTCTGCTGCAGTTGGGCAATGGCCTGCTTGGTACGCTGGGGGTCTGGGGTACTGTCAACCACGTCATATCCATCTGCGCCGTATGGGAGGGCATTGGGTGATATGGCAGGGCCTGATGCATCGTAACGATCAAGCTGTTCAAGAAAAGTGGAAAGAGGAAAGTATTTAACCACTTAAAACATAATCAAAACATTTAAATCACTGTGCCATAGTTAAAACTAACCTCCTCGTTTCATATATTGTGCTAAACGGATGTGTTTTATCAGTTTAGTAAGTCCTGCACTGAAAGTGTAAAAGTACCAACTACTGCACAATTTGTATAAATGGCAACATCGTTTTTGATACATTTCTCTAATGTCTCTGGATCACACCATTTGTGTCCAATTCAAAATGACAAACTGCTTCTGCTGGGCCAATTTTGCAGTTTTAATCATCCTATAAACGCTGAGTAACCTGTGAATCGCTCCTTTTAAACTCAAGGTTTAATTTGCAAAGATTTGCAACACTAATCAGCACTAACTGAAGGTATACAAATGACTATTTTCACCTACTCATACACACACGTTTGCACCCTTCAGAGTGATCTGTAACTACATATTCACAACAGCAGAGGGCACCTGTCAACAAAATTCCACCTTAACTGTCACTGCCCAGCTCCAAATCCAGAAGGTACAAGTAGAATAAAATAGATAAACAGAAGGAAAGAAAAATCATTCAAAAGGCAGCAAGTCAACTAATTTTTGTGGTGCTGCTATGACAGCAATTTAAATGTTCCCCTGTGATGTGCTTTAGTTACAAAGTCCAGGACAAGTAACCCGACTCCACAAACGAACACCCTCACCCTGAGGCCGCGGGAGAGAGAAACATTAAATCTGAAACAGAAAATCAACAAACACGAGAGCCAACACCCATGACTGAAAACACGACTGCAGCCAACTAAATGACGTAAACCCAAAAAGGTGATGCAAGGTTATGCTATCTAATAACCTGCAAAACAGGAAGATTACTTCAAATTCCAACTGCAGGGTTGAATATACTTGAAACGACAAGGGTGAGTCGTAGAGCAGCTACATAATAATGTAACATCTTCTACAAAGCTCGTGTTTTATGTGTGATTGTGACCCTATTCCTATAATCACAATAATCTTCTGTAACAGCATAAATAAAGTTTTTATATTTAGAAATCATGAAATTTTCCTCCTACATGATTTCTGAATCAGTGATCCTGACTGGTGTCGGTTTGTATCCGGCTAAACAAACACATTCAACACACCTGCCGACTATAAAGGTAAAGGACTGCAAGGCTGATGGATGTGATGTTTGACCACATGCAAAAACTAGCTTTAAATTTACAATTTGTTTATATAAACTTGTGCATCTCAAACTGAAAACTCATCCATTAATTTTTAGTGTCTACTTCTTCTAAAAGTAAACAACAAAGAGATTGAGAGACTTTTTTTACTGTCAGCCATAAGCGGACTTTAGCTGAGAGCTGCTGATTACAAGTTACTGGTCCAAAGGTTGTTTTGGGGGGTTTTGCCGAATAATCAATTTAAGAGAGTTTCCCGCCATTGTGAGGTCATGCAGTCTTTCATAACTGTACTTAAATGTCAAACAAACAAGTTTTGAGTTTGTTTAGCCCTGCAAGCCCGCTCTGACCTGAAGTACACTCAGACAGCAAAAGCTAAATTTAGAAAGGCTTAAAGCACATAGTGACCAAACACTCAAAGGCAATCTCTGACCTTCCACCGCTGACAGCTCATCTCCCCATTCAGCAGCTCATCCCTGCGCATCTAAAGCATTAATGGCCTCTTAACAAGTTTGTCCAACTCATTTAGTTTTGACATTCCTGCACACAAATTAGTGCGCCAGTCAGTTTGTGTTTATTTTTAAAATGTAACTGTTTATTTTTAAATAAGCCAAACAAATTAATCCTGAGTGCAAAGCCTTAGTATTGCACCTTGATTCTGAAGGTTTAGACCTCATCTCTATATACAGTATAATGATGTCAGGATTTGCAGTGAGAGTTGTACTTCACATCCTGTGCTTTCACAGTACACTGCACATATTTGTATGTGGTTAGAGGTGAGTGTCATTCTGACTTCTGGAACTACAATTTCCATCCGTGAATCAGGAAATGTCTCATTTTCGAATTAGAAACTAAGTATAAGTAAAGACTCTTGTTCTATTTTTGTCTTTCGACATTACAGTTTGGAAAACAAGCATTTTGACAAGTAATACTACATTAACTGGAGGCAGATCCTGAACCAGCTATAACACACTATTACTGACATTAAACACTTTTATTTACTGGCAAGTTTCAGTTCAGACTTTTTAGGGCAAACACGCCAGATTTTACAACAAGAATCAAAACTAAGACTCTCACCTTGTCGGGCTCTTCAGTGGAGTGGTAACCAGAGGTCAGCAGCATGTCAGCCAAGGCTGGGCTGCTGGGTGTGTCTGTGGTCGAAGAGGAGCGTGGGCGTCCAGCCTGCAACAGGGCTTCATGGGTGCTGCGCCGGTGGATCTGTGGGCTACCTTTCTGGGGAGGGTCCCCAGTGCCGCCCGCCTTGCTGCGGCGGCTCTGCAGGCTGGTGCCTCGCTTTATCATTGGTGGACCTCGGATCTGCTGCAGGACACGGCTCAGAGCTGCAGGAGGGGCGGAAGTGGCAGGGGTGTCAGAATCCAAAGGGAGGGCCAAGGAGGCGGGGGTGTCCCCTACTTCTGACCCTACGTCAGCGGGTTCGGAGGGAGGGGCGCTTGCGCAGGACGAGGCGGAGTCATGCGGGGAAACGGAGGAGCGTCGGCGCTGTGGCTGGAAGAATTGCTTCAGGCCATGGCCCAACGCTCCCATGTTCTCCAGGGCATTATGGGTGATTTTGGACAAGCCGTGCTCTGACTCCGACGCCCTCCTGCCGAGCTCTGGCTCCGCTCGCCCTCCTGCGTCCGGCTCCTCTGGACTCTGCTCACTACTACCCTGATCCATCTGAGACCTCCAGTTTCACAGTGAGGGTCCTGCTCGGGGTGTGAAGGAGACTAGCTACGCCCCGTCGACACCCCGCCCTCTGAGAGGCAGGTTGAAAGCAGGGAAGCAGAGGGGATGGCGCTCAGTTGGGCCTTTTGAGTGGGCATGCATCTGTGGCTTGGCTCAATGTCATGCTTGTCTACCACAAAAGGAAAATAAAATGTATTATGACATGCAGCAGTGAGTGAGGAACATAATAAGCAGCAGAAGAATAGGAAACAATACTAAGCAACAAAAACCTGGGTTGGCACAGACATGACCTTTTTTTTTTTTGCAGTCAACATGATTCTTAGTTAACGTTTGTTCACAATCTGGATAAATACAGTAGGTACCCATTTCGGTTCGTGCTGGGCAGATGTACTGGACGTGCTGGTATACCAGTCGTAATTTTTAGCGTGATATTAATTTTTTAAAATGCCACTGTTTCAGTAAAAAGACAAAACACCCACTGTGGCTCATCAAGGGGTTTAAAATGTGTTATAATATTCAGACGGGACCTGTGGTGACTGAGCAGCCTTCCTCCTCACAGTTATTATCAATGAGGCACTTGTTCTCGTTGTCCAAAAACACAGACATGCGTGTTAATCTATCGTGTTATTCTTATTTGGTGAGATGGCAAATACAGCAAATGGTTCAAAACACTGAACAACTGAATAATTAAAACTTATATTTATTGTTCTTGTATTTGTTCATCGTTTTGAGATCTGCAACTAAACTTCATATATATAATTTGCAATAATTTGTGTTATAAAACTAATTCCCAAATGCTATTTACATTTAGATGCTGGTGCACTAGGTAGTGTCATCCAGATTGGTTAACACATCCTGGATGCTATGATTATTCAATTAAGATATGATGTAAAAAGCCATATAAGGCAAATATTATTAACCTACAACTAAAGCTACGTTTCCCTGCTTCCTTGTCAAAAGGGTTCGTCACAGCAGGCAGCGCCGCATGTTTGATTTGGCACAGCTTTACACCGTTTGCCCTTCCTGACTCAACCAAAAAAGGAATTTGTGTCTCCAGCTGGAATTGAACAGGTGACCTTTTGTGAATGTGAATGTGTAAACCACTACACTGTGATTAATAATCTGCAACTAATCTGTGAATCATTTACTATTTCTCACATTAACAGCTGAATGGAATGTAATTACAGCTAACCAGGTAGAATAACAGTGTGTGATAGCTGCAAGGGCAATCTGCCACTGGTCAGAGGACGAGAAAATACTAAACTGGAGACGCATCAAAGTAACTTGTGACCAAGAGAGACTGTGAATGTTCTATTTGGATATTTGGTGTTTTAAAAATAAAATTGACAAGTTTGCTGGAATTTGTGCTCATGCAGCTCCTCTGTGTTCAGTAAGGCAAAGCAAACTTGTTATTCGAGGGCTTTTCCTGATGACAGCAGAGCATGTGCCACAAAACTTGGAAGAGTAAGTTTGAATGGAGGCTGTGGCAAAGCTGCACATAACTACACTTCCATAGAAACATTAATGCAACACAAAGGGGCATTATATGTAACCTAAAAGCACAATCAGCACCCTGTTAAGGATCAACTCTGTTTAAGTATTTTATTTTTGCAAAGAGATCCTAAAAGTAGATTACTCACATGATATGTAAGGGGAAAAACACCAGAATCACCACCAGAAAGCTATACTGCGTGTTTCGTGTCATGACTGTGTCAACCCAGTAAAGCAAAAACATAAAATCTACAAAATAAACAAGTACAGTTTCTGAAATGCTCATATCTGATATACTGCACATGTGCAGATAGTGTCCATTCTTTATTTTTGCTCTTATGTATAAAATCATTGAATTATTACATTTCAGAAAGTGTTCCTTACAGAACTAAATAATCAACGTAACTGAGGATGTTCAGATGCTAACAAAGAGACCACAACAAACTAAACGTAAAATAAACATAAATGAAGATCTAAATGGAGAGTGACTACAATCTATTTCTCAACTGAGTAAGGTCCTCCACGATCCACAGCGGCCTCCCCACTTTGCTTCTCATTTCATGAGAAGGCTACATCCTGTAATATAGAGGGCCACTCCAAGTGCTCGGCTTTTAAATGTCAGTTTGTGCTGAACACAGCTCTTTGGGTTTATCAACATGAAACAACAGAGTGAGGATGAGAGCAATAGAGAAGGTTAGATAGTTTGTAAGAGAGCTTACCATCAGCCCAGCCTCTCCTCTTCTGACTCACGAATCAGGACTGGCTAAATGAAGCAGAAGCACAGACAAAATAAAAAACATAAATTACAATATTCAAATAACAAGAAAAAGAGAAAAACAGTGGACTGATGGATATGTAAACCAGCACTGCAATAAACAACTTATCAGCATCCAACATGTTGCCCACCGGAAAGCGTCAACAGCCTAGTGGACCTTTGGTTAAAACCTTTAGTCGCTGACACTAAGTTTATGTTTAATACGCATTGTTACTGTTGAATAACAACTACTAGATATACACTACAACAGCAAGACAAGACAACAGCTCATGAATATGAAAACATGAATGCAGCTTAGAACTGCTCCAAGGAGCTGTCACTGCACAGCTCATCTGCAACACATACGAGATGGGGGGATGTAAGCCTGAGAGATTCCTACTTAAACACTTTTCAAATCATTTGTCCTACAAGCTCCAAACCAAACAGCAGAGTTAGCGCTACACAGTCTTCTTTGTTTGAATTCATGGGCTTGTTTTGACAAGAATTAAACTCAATTATTTTTAAGTACAATTTTCAAGCATGCTGATTTCTTATATCACTAACAGGCAATTTAACTGGTCTCAAGCCGTGCTTCTGCATGCTTCAAGTATGTGAGATCGCGGCCTGTCCCTAATCAGAGTGCTTATGGACAGCAGAGGATTACCAATTAGAGGGTTTGATGTTTTCTAAATCAAATATTCACTTGCTACGTTACGCCTTTAATACATCTTTCAAAGCATGATAACCAAGGGAACATTACAGTCGACGCTGCATGTCACTGATGCGGTTTATTTTGCAGCAGTAACTTTATGATGAGCGGTCAGACAGTCTGTTTTGCGAGACACAATGTACCGTCTGTTTCATTGAGCCATAAAGAAAACATCCAAGGCTTAAAGTGATTGAGGACGAGCTACTTTGCAGACAAACAGAAAAATGATCCTTTGAGTCAGCACAGCTATGTATGTATCATTTAACAAGTCAGCAGAGCAAACCGGCCCAGAAAACCCTTTGAAATGCTCCATTAGTGACACTGTGACTCATTGCATGCTGGTCCAGCTTTTAGACCTGCAGCATCTGAGAAGAAAGCTCATTGTTCAAGAGTAGGTGGTGGTGAACAGTTCAGTAACGAAAGGAAGCTCCTTAACCGCTTCTTGCAGAAACAACACATTAAAACGCTGCTATTTAGTTTTAAACCAGTATCTTGGTTCACTCCTGTTGTTGCTCTTGGTTTTCGTATCTGCTGCTTCAGCTCAGAGGAGCTACCTGCTCATAGAGGTATTGAATACTATATTTATCTAAATAACAACATATCCAACAGATTAAAGCATAAATTTCATCTGATATGAGAAACAGAAGCTCTTTGACCACACATTATTACTCTGAATCGCTTACAAGACTCGTGTGAAGACAAATATTCAACACAGATGTGAGACAACGTCCTACATCTACAATAAAAGTACAAAGGCATCTGAGTCCTCCAGGCTGTGGGCAAAGTGTTCTCTTTGAAGTGGGTCAGCCAACATTCGCCCATCACTCTGTGTACATACATTGCTGCATGGGCACATCATCTACATGAGGTGCGTTTTCACTGCAGGAACTAGCGGCAGGCACGAGGCAGCTCGAGGATGAATGAAACCACAACAGAGGGAACATCGTTCCACTTCTCCTAAATTAGCGTTTTTCAGGAAAGAAAAGGTAGTTAATTGACTTTAGAGAGTTTAAACCAATGCTGCTATGATTCAATTTTTAACCACTGAAACCAGCTGTTGTTGTTTCAACCAGTTGTTGTTTCAAGGTGCCCTGAAACGACCCACAAGTTCCTACACCAGAAATATGCAAGCAGCGTTCCTGTTTGGAGCATGTCAGCAAGTCCTTTTGGAGCTGTGTCTTACTAGTATAAAAGACACAGCTCCTGGATGCACTGGTACGCATCTTCAGTGATGTATCCTGGGGTCATCAGGTGTTTCGGGTCTCACAACATCATACACCCTCGCCCAGGCGACCCAGCCGGGGGTGATCAGGCCCCAACTTGCATACCAGTAGCTACCCACGGATCAGCCCTCTTGATCCACAGCCACCTTGTGGCTTTCTCTGCCGCTTCACTCACAGCCTGGATGGCCCTCTTCTTGGCTGCCCCAGCCACGCCCAGCCGGCCTAGGACTTTGCAGAGTGATCATCCGGCAAAGCCCCTACAACCCACTTGTATGGGCTCATAGAAAGTCTTCCAGCCCCTTCCCCTGCACTCCTGCACTAGTTCCTGGTACTTTACTCGTTTCCTTTCATTGGCCTCCTCGATCCACTCTTCCCAGGGCACTGGGAGTTCCAGCATGATCATCTGTTTTGAGGCCTCAGAAATACTCTTGAATACTCTTATTCACACTCATTACCATAAACTAGGTTGAATGCATTAGTTTATTCCTTAATTTAACTGGGGATAGAGATAGATAAGTGAAAAGATCCAACAATGTCAATCCTGACAAAAAGGGCATTCATTGCAGCAGGAGTGTACTTGATGATAAGACGTACCTTCAAATGTGGTCATGTGCAATAGATCTATTCTATTGCCACAGAAAAAGACTCAGTAATCCAGGCAAGTATCCAGCACTGCTTCCTCTGGGTACGTTTTTCCAAATTAAAACTGGCAGAAGAGCTGTCAAACTTCAGTCAACTGTTTCCGTGGACATTTAGAAAGATCACATGCTGCAAAGAAAAAGAAGAACAAGAAAAACAAGCATTAAAAAGAGACGCAAAAGTGTGTACTAATGTGCGGTAATAATCAAGCAGTTACATAATCTGTATTATTAAGACCACAAGCAGCCATCCTCCTGCACTAAAAGTAGAGTCAATATTTGGCACCAATAATTAATTCTAACAATCTTATAAAGCAAAGCTGTAATAGGGTGTTCTTGCAGTGCTGCTGAAATTGATGTATGAGGATTTAAATTAAAAACCACAAGGATTGCCCCTAACAGCACACACAACAAACCAAGGCCATTTAATATCCGATATTCAATCCACAACAAATGGTTACAGCCATCCCCCCTATGTCAGGAAGCTCATACAACTCGTTGGATGGCAGAATGAAAACATGTAGTTTAATTTTGTAGAGCGCAGGGCCCCCGCCCCCCTGAGGACTTTTAGCTTAATTAACTGTGTAATGTTAATTAATAGTGCTGCATAGCCCAGAGGGATTATGTGCTGGACAGGTTTACGGAGGCAAATCTACAATAAAATAATGCGACACTGACACAGATGTAAACATCGCTGTCTGTAAGAATAATCTGCCACAATCAAAGCACAAGGAGTGAAAAGGATCTGTGCCTACTAATAAAAAAAGTCTCCTTTAAATATACTACAGCACCAAAATGATCCTGTCAAGACAAAAAGGCTCAGCTAAATGTATTTATAGCACTGACACTTACTTCAGTTCGCTTCAATGAAGTTAAGAGAGTTAAATCAAACTGTACTGTGCTAATGTTTTTTTCATTTTCTCAACCAGAGAGGTGGTTGAGTACGTTTAAGCTCTACCATGAATTAATGATGGTCCCCGGCATGTTTCTGTTGTTTTTGTTCGTGTTACTGTTATTGATTGATTCATATCACCTGAACAACTCCTCTCTGCACTCATTCTTTGTGAAATAAAGGACGGTAGGAAAAGAAAACACCCTGACAAAACCACGTAAGCCGCCCGTCGTTTACCCATCACCACACAGCCCCGGCTAGGTAATTACATTACTCGAGGGGTTACAGGTGCATTCGGTGTCATTACATGTGAGGTAACTGTAGTAACGCCTGTACTTAAAAATTGAAAAGGAGACGCTGTGATAAACTAAATTATGTATGTACATACTTGTCTGTATGAGTGCCGTTATTGAGTTACTGCAAATAGTCCGAGCCCAGCGGTTTAACATTAGCCAGAGATAAGAAGAGGATGGAATTAGCAGCTCGCTAGCTTATATTCGTGGGTCCGGGCTTTAAAAAAACTACTGTTGGACATTTTCACAAAACAATCGTGAAATCTACGGCTTTACTTCAGAGTGGTACAAACCGTTGTGCCAGCTAAAGTCAGAAAACATCGCTTTCCCCGAATTGAAGGCTTGGCTTCTCCACTGGTGGCTAACCGGGCAAGCTAACGTAAAGGAGCCGGAGGGCGTTTATTTCACTCCACGGTGCACACCGGTGTTGGTGTTAAGCGGAGCGAGGTCATGCTTAAAATTCATGATAACAGCACATATCGCAGTGTCAAAACCCTGCCCACATCACACCGGAGCTCACGTGAAGCTCTTTAAAATGCAGTCAATGTTTTACAAACTACATACAGAAGCCGAAACTCTTTAAAGCCAGTTTGTGTTGTTTTTGTGTTGTCAGGAGACCTGATTGATTTAACAGTGTGTGTATCCTGCAAAGAACAGAGTGTAGGCTAGCATCACCTCTCACTGCTGCCACGCCTTGTAATGTGGCTTCATATTAAAGTTCACCCAACATCCCTGATTTGAATGTATAAACCAGAAGATGACCGCTGTGTAAGGTGACAGGTGTTTATGACTGGCTCTCCAGTGATAGCAGCAGTTCTGCAGGAGTTCCCCGTTTTCAACAAAACAAAGCGTTAATACACATTTAGTAGCTGTTTATTACATTACATGGCTATTAATGTCATTATTACAGGTTATTCTAGAGCCTCGTCATACACTTACACCCACAAACACAAACTGAAACACAACTTCTTCCCAGAAGCTGTAGCACTGCTGAACTCTGTCACTAACTTATGTATATCTATATCTTGTAAACTTTCCCTTTCACTTGCTGCTATCCTTCTGTCTCAGATCACCCGTGACGTTCATCTCCACCCTGCCTACACACGTCTTCTTTATCTGTCTTGTGCACTTTCAGGTGCTTTGGATGGATGACCTCAGGTATTTACATTAACACCTTCACTATCTCTACTCCTTGCATGTCACCGTTCCACCTGCCTTGCTCTCATTCACACACTGTATTCTGTCTCGCGTCTACTGACTTTCATTCCTCTTCAGAGCATACCTCCAGCTCTCCAGGCTCCCTGCTCTCACTACAGATCACAGTGTCATCTGCAAATATTATAGTCCATGGAGACTCCTGCCTGACCTCGCCTGTCAACCTGTCCAACACCACCACAAACAAGAAGGGACTCTGAGCCGACCCCTGGTGTAATCCTAACCCCACTTTGAACTTACCGCACACCTCACAACTGACTCACTGTCCTCGAACATGTCCTGCACCACACTCACATACTTCTGCGCCACTCATGACTTCCTCATGCAGTACCACGGTTCCTCTCTTGACACCCTCTCATACACTTTATCTAGCTCTGCACACTCCACAAACATACATACATACATACATACATATATATATA